TTTTTTGCGTAACTTGTCAGTGAACTACGGCTATGTGTGGTAAATGCTGCTCCATCTGAAAGCACGTGGTGATGATTTCCTGCTGATTATAGAACCGGCTTTACTAACAAAATGCACATTACAATCGCATTTGATTAATCGTGCAGCCCTAATTCGAATATTTGGGCTCATAAAAAAACGAATATTCGAATATTCGTTTATTTAAATTAGGTTTAATGAGAAAGACGTTATTTTTAATCATCAAGTTTTTGTCACGATTTCTCAACAAGCTTATGAGTAGCCGTTACACAACAATGTTCTACAACAACGTTACGTTATATCGCAAGGTTTTATTTTGGTTGAAAACGTGTAAACAAAAAAAAAACATTAAAAAAGCATTCAAGATCAAGCAGAGCAAACGGAAAAATCAAGCAGACTCTGCCAATTACATATACTCGAGTCGGCCTATCTTTATTGTGTTTACATTGTTTCACGTATTAATTCTGAGAGAAACAATAATATCCACATGCTCGGGTGAAAGTTTGTTCCTCAGTCTGATAACAATAAGAACGCGCTGACAAAGATAACGTGTGCTAACAGGTTCTTAGCGCTTTGTGTTAAACCACTCTCCCTCGAGGAACCTTTATATATGTTATAAACACGCTATATATTGTTAACACGCTCCAAAGCGCCACCCAGTGCATTTAGTTATAACTGCTTAGGATTTATCATGGATTCCCTGCATTTACGGCCAGCAAATCAACACATAGTAAAATTCGAATAGTGTTTTTATTGTTCGAATAATAATTAAACCGAATGTTCGACTATTCGTGCACACCCCTACTTTAAATGAGCAGAAAGACTCGGGTCAGGAGTTTGTGTTTGGTCTCTTACCCACGTCAGTAGTTCCCAGGTCTGTAGAGGCAGATTTGAGCGTTTGTCTTTTCCCCCGCGCTCCGTGCTTCATCACTCCCTGACTCTGAGAAACACACGGACACACTGTGAACAACTACAGACGGAGAGATGGAGATACATGAGGAATGATGGATCAGACAGCGGCTCAATGTTCTTGCACATAGAATTAACTATAAAAAGGTAGTGCTTTGAAAATGATTCCACTCCTTCTCGTTTGCTTAATATCACACTTTATGAAAATAACATTTTGAATTTATAACCTTAGTGACAAGAATATTACAAAAAAAAAAATACTAGTCTGAATTAGGGCTGGGCGATATACAGTGGGTACGGAAAGTATTCAGACCCCCTTAAATTTTTCACTCTTTGTTATATTGCAGCCATTTGCTAAAATCATTTAAGTTAATTTTTTTTCCTCATTAATGTACACACAGCACCCCATATTGACAGAAAAACACAGAATCGTTGACATTTTTGCAGATTTATTAAAAAAAAAAAACTGAAATATCACATGGTCCTAAGTATTCAGACCCTTTGCTCAGTATTTAGTAGAAGCCCCCTTTTGATCTAATACAGCCATGAGTCTTTTTGGGAAAGATTATAGAACCGGCTTTACTAACAAAATGCACATTACAATCGCATTTGATTAATCGTGCAGCCCTAATTCGAATATTTGGGCTCATAAAAAAACGAATATTCGAATATTCGTTTATTTAAATTAGGTTTAATGAGAAAGACGTTATTTTTAATCATCAAGTTTTTGTCACGATTTCTCAACAAGTTTATGAGTAGCCGTTACACAACAATGTTCTACAACAACGTTACGTTATATCGCAAGGTTTTATTTTGGTTGAAAACGTGTAAACAAAAAAAAAACATTAAAAAAGCATTCAAGATCAAGCAGAGCAAACGGAAAAATCAAGCAGACTCTGCCAATTACATATACTCGAGTCGGCCTATCTTTATTGTGTTTACATTGTTTCACGTATTAATTCTGAGAGAAACAATAATATCCACATGCTCGGGTGAAAGTTTGTTCCTCAGTCTGATAACAATAAGAACGCGCTGACAAAGATAACGTGTGCTAACAGGTTCTTAGCGCTTTGTGTTAAACCACTCTCCCTCGAGGAACCTTTATATATGTTATAAACACGCTATATATTGTTAACACGCTCCAAAGCGCCACCCAGTGCATTTAGTTATAACTGCTTAGGATTTATCATGGATTCCCTGCATTTACGGCCAGCAAATCAACACATAGTAAAATTCGAATAGTGTTTTTATTGTTCGAATAATAATTAAACCGAATGTTCGACTATTCGTGCACACCCCTACTTTAAATGAGCAGAAAGACTCGGGTCAGGAGTTTGTGTTTGGTCTCTTACCCACGTCAGTAGTTCCCAGGTCTGTAGAGGCAGATTTGAGCGTTTGTCTTTTCCCCCGCGCTCCGTGCTTCATCACTCCCTGACTCTGAGAAACACACGGACACACTGTGAACAACTACAGACGGAGAGATGGAGATACATGAGGAATGATGGATCAGACAGCGGCTCAATGTTCTTGCACATAGAATTAACTATAAAAAGGTAGTGCTTTGAAAATGATTCCACTCCTTCTCGTTTGCTTAATATCACACTTTATGAAAATAACATTTTGAATTTATAACCTTAGTGACAAGAATATTACAAAAAAAAAAATACTAGTCTGAATTAGGGCTGGGCGATATACAGTGGGTACGGAAAGTATTCAGACCCCCTTAAATTTTTCACTCTTTGTTATATTGCAGCCATTTGCTAAAATCATTTAAGTTAATTTTTTTTCCTCATTAATGTACACACAGCACCCCATATTGACAGAAAAACACAGAATCGTTGACATTTTTGCAGATTTATTAAAAAAAAAAAACTGAAATATCACATGGTCCTAAGTATTCAGACCCTTTGCTCAGTATTTAGTAGAAGCCCCCTTTTGATCTAATACAGCCATGAGTCTTTTTGGGAAAGATGCAACAAGTTTTTCACACCTGGATTTGGGGATCCTCTGCCATTCCTCCTTGCAGATCCTCTCCAGTTCTGTCAGGTTGGATGGTAAACGTTGGTGGACAGCCATTTTTAGGTCTCTCCAGAGATGCTCAATTGGGTTTAAGTCAGGACTCTGGCTGGGCCATTCAAGAACAGTCACAGAGTTGTTGT